ATACTAACTTTAATTTACGATCATTGCAACTGTCTCTTATTCTTATTTTATTTAATACATTACACTCACAAAACAAATACTTTGGATTTTTATAGGGTTACTTTCATTTCATCATTAATTTGAGTAGGTAAAATTAATAAAAAAAAATGATATCACTTTAATGTATTGACTTTCACCAAATTTGAACTCTTCTTCTAAATTTTACATACATACATATACAGGGTGTCTCGCGGTGACCACCCAGTAGAATATTTTGGAAACTACATCGATTTAAAATTTGAAAACTTGTATAATATCGTTATTGGATATGCTCTCCTCAATTAAAACAACGGCATCTATGTCACACTTCCGGTTTTGAATTCTACTTATGATTCTAGGTAGACCTTCATGAGGCTTTCCTAGTTCTAAAATTTTACTGTTTTCGAGATATTTTCTTAAAAAAAAATAACACATGGCAACAGGTAGCGAAAATGCATGCCTGTTTTACAGTAAAAAACCTGGAACAACAATGTTATCAGGAAAGATAGCTATACTCTCAAGCTTCTCTTCCATACTTTCAAAGTGAGTTAATTACATATAGTGCAGATATTAATTGCCACTTGAGATATTAATCTTATATGTGTTTTATATGCAGTAATGAAATTGTTTGTTTCTTTTCTAGTTCCAACATGTTTGTCGAAATATAATTGCTTTTGTACTCTTTACTAATAAGACTAATAAGTCAATTAAGTTCGTTTTGTCACTATTAAAAAAATTGTTTTAAACTAAACTGCAACTGAACCTGTATGGTACCTGCTTTGCATTTGTACAGTACCGAACAAGTTGCAGACTGTTCGCAATAGGATTTGAGTTTGAACATTAAGCTCTATTCATATCATTATTTTTGAAGTGTTAAATTTTTCAGTTTGCTGTCAACGAATTTGAAGATGTTCTGCGAGTTTGCAGATAAGAAAGCTGCTGATTGTAGATAAGTACTTAATAAATAATTCAAGTATTTTTTCCGCCATTTCGCAGTAGCAAAAAAAAATTAAGAGGTTGCATTTGCGTCATAAATTAATTTAATTTCCCAAAAATTTGGAAAACGTCTTTTATAACCCCTATTTTTAAATCAGGCAATAAGTCAAATGGAGGTTTAGACCATTGCTTAGCATTCGGGAGGAGGCCGAGTCGATTCCGGGTCCGTCTGCCTTGGTCCAAGTTTTTCTTTAGTTTCCTTGGATCACTTAGTCTTAGTTGGGGCAGTCATATTCCACAGATAATCTTTCATTATCTTCTGTCTTCATTTCGTCCGTCTCATCTTTCTCAGCCGAACCACCTTTC